GGGGCCGCTTGGCCACCGAGGCTGCTCCGGGGCTGGCGAGGGCGAGGTGGGGTGGCGGTGAGGCGGAGTCTCCGCGGCTCCCTCCCGGGTGATGCCGCGGCTCTCGCAGACACAGCCGCCAGCACCCAGCCCCGGAGCCGCTCCGCCCACGGGCACCCACCCGCCCCCTCCCCGGGTCCCAGCCCCGCGCGCCCGGCCGCTCCCCCCGCGCTCGCCGACGTGCGCGCCACATCGCTCCGGCCCAGGGTACCCCTCACCCGTGAGTCATCCTCCCTCTCCCGCTGCCTCGTCTCCGGCAGGCATTCTCCCCAGCCCTGCTTTTCCCTGGGATGCATTAATCATCATCATCATCCTCGCGACCATCTTCATCCTGGAGCAGTCATATTATGTGAGCGCCCACAGTGTTCTGAATAGGAAGAAACACCCGCTGCAAGCATTTTTTTCCCTCCCTTCTACCACATCTTTCTCATTTACTAGTCGAGTGTTCATAGGCACCACGGTGTGATTTTTAAGATAAATTTGATACACACACCCCTCCAACAGCCCAGATTTTCTAGGTTCATTGCATGCAGTGCTTTTCTTGACCCATTCTCAGTAGAGCTGTTCTGCAATTTATCCGAATCGCACCCCCTCCCCGATGCCCCACGCCAAGGCAACTCTTTAATTTGTCCTTTTAGGCTCTAGGTAGCCCGTTCCATCGCATAACCGCACTTCGCTGGTGCTTGCAAATGGATTATCTACTCTAATTCCTCTAATGATGCTCACTGTCGTCACGTACTCACTTCTTTGCTTCTGTAGGTACTTCTCAAGAAACACCGATCCCAGATAAGAAAAACATCCCAGCTCAGCCTATTGTAAGAAGCTTCTGCTCAATGCCCGGCCCAATGATAAGCATTAAGGATGAGCTTCTCTTGTTGATAAAGGCAAAATTAAACAGTGATTTCAAAATAGTTAATGTTACTATTTGAACCTGGAGACTGAATTTTGTTAAGATATTTATAAAAGAATCAATAGAAGAGTTCAAGCTGAACAATTTTTCTTAGCAATGGTGATGGGAGAATTGATAGGTTACTCTCCTGCAGAATCCTTTCTATAATTCCAGAAGGGACCTAGCACTAATATTTTTTTTTCCTCCAAGTGTAACTTTGTTAATAGAGAAGAAGATGAGGATATTTACAAATCCTAAAAAATCCTAAAATCTTCAACTTTAAAAAAACGTTAGAGTTTAATGACTTGATCTCCCACTGAATGCAAGTGTTGCTTTACATGGACACACCCATTTGGATAATCTCAGTAATAATCTCACTACCTCTTAATTTTATCCCTATGTCTAAATCCCTCTTATACCCGAAGATCTTTCAACTATTTGAGACGGCCTTCAATCCGTCTACAGTTTTATCCAGAGTAAACCTTCCCAGTTTATCCAACCAGCACCAATGTTGCATGATTTCAAAGTCTGGCCGTTCTGGTTACCTGCCTTTGGACACACTCGGTATTTTTTCATTAAGAACAATGTCTGGCACTTAGTAAGTGCTTTGTAATTATTATTTTTATTTGCACAACTTAACCTCGGTCTAGCTTTTCGGTAGCCATGTCACTTATGAAGATATCGCTGAAATAAATACATAGTCCACTTAAGTTTCCAGTCCTTTTTTTATAAGTGCTGCTGCCTTGCCAGAATTCCTCTTTCCTCTAATTAAGCATTTGATTAAAAACACTCTAATCAGCATCTTCTCTTCATTAAAAATAAATGGTACTTATTTCTCTTAGACAAGCATATATTCAGGAGGGGTAAAACGAGTTTGAATCCTGGCTCTACCAGTGATCTGATGCTCTTGGCCAAATCCACCTCTCCTTGCTGAACCTCTGTTTCTTCATCTGCAAAAGGGGGTAAAGATGTTTTCCTCAAAATAGAAGAGGGCTATTAAATGAGGAGACATATTTGAAGCATCTAGCTATGTGCCTAACACTTTCCAGTTCTCTGTTTCTTATTCCTTGCTCTCTCTAAGAGACGTATTAGGCCATCACTCCATGATTCATTCACAGAGGGGAGTAGAGATGTAGCTGATACATTGATTCTATCAAATGCCTTTATCTCTGCAGGTCAGTGTAGGGATGCAAGGCCTTTATCCTCAAAAATTTACAATCAAGTTGGTCCTTATGAAATTCTTCTGAGATACAAATAAAAGAATAAGTCTTCAGTAGATATTAGAACTACATGAATAAAGTTCTTGAAGGCAGGGGCCTAGTGAGCAATTAATAGGGTTGTTTTCATCTGCTAGGGCTGCTGCCCCAAAGTCCCTCAGTCTGGGTGGCTTAACAACAGAAATTTATTTTCTCATGGTTCTGGAGGCTAGAAACCCACAGTCAAGGTGCTGGCAGGATTAATTTTTCCCGAGGCTTCTCTCCTTGGCCACCCTCTTGCTGTGTCCTCACATGGCCTTCTCTCTGAGCATACCCATCCCTGGTATTGCTCCCTCTACTCACAAGGACATCATGCCTGTTGGGTTAAGACCCTACCCTAATGACCTCATTTAATCTTAATCACTTCTTTGAAGGTCCTACTTCCAAATATAGTCACATTCTAAGGTACTAAGGATTAGGCCTTTAATATACGAATTTTGGTGAGGGGGAGGGGAATTCAGTCCATTACAAGTGGATTCCATTTATTAGAATTACTTTGGAAAGAGGTGACTGAAGTGTATTATCTAGATGATTGAATGAAAAGAAGTCTGGTCTCAATCATCTTTATGTTCATAACTCCTTCCTTGCTGCTCGGTAAGTATTTGTAAAATCAGTGAGTGAATCAGTGGATGAAGGCGTGAACAAGTTGGCCAGTCAATTAGTAGGTGCCAGGATGTATCCATTGGTGTCTCCCATTCTGCCAGAAATCTCATCCTTCACGGAGGGGTTCAAATCCAAGGAAAGTGTACTTCTACAAATTTTCCTCCAGAGAAACAATTTATCTACACTTAGATAAGCAAGCCAACACCCAAAGTTGGCCTACCAACATGCTTGGCACAGGTGATCAGTTCCTGAAGATGCTGTACCAAAAATGTCCAATAAACTTAGATTTAGAGCACACGTCCCTCTTAGAAATTCACAAGGCATCTTTACAAATAAAAAATACTGAGAAACAATTACTTACTGCAGTAATGAAGTCGGTTTTACTTGGTCTGGCAGGCATTTCCCAAATGTATTTGGACTATAATAGAACTACACACTTGCCCCCATCACCTCCCCATGGAGAAAATATGCTGTAGACAAGCCTTGGGGAAAATCCTGACTTACAAGTGTGGTACCCAGAGATGTTATCAAGAGAGACCATGAAACTTTTCATGGGATACTCCTCGCCCAACCAACGATGCCTGTAGAAAATGTCTTAAATCTCTCTTTGAAAGATGTGTATCAGATGCCCTTCATGTCAACACTGATGTTATGTTCAGTACTAGTCAGAAATGATGACTTAGACAAAGATCCTATAAGGTAAGTTTCTTAACTCTTCTTTCCACAGATACTTTCCAATCATTCCTCAAAATTAAGACGAAAATTGGACATCACTGTTAACTACTAATTAACTTAATAGCTACGATTATCACTTCAAACTGGAAAATCATTGAAATGGGGTCAAGTTCAAATCCTTACTCTATGATGTGACAGATGTAGTGGGTTTAATACTGTCTCTTCCCCCAAGCTTCATGTCTACTCAGAACCTCAGAATGTTTCGGTATTTGGAAATGGCTTTTTACCATGAAATTAGTTAATGTGAGATCAGATTCTATTAGGATGGGTGCTAAATCCAGTGACTAGCATCCTTATGAGAGAGGAGAAGGCACAGACACATAGAAGAAGGCCATAGGGAGACACGGAGAGACACAAACAGAAGGCATTGTGGGAACAGAGGCAGAGGAGGGAGTGACGCTGGACCCAGACCAAGGGACCCTGGGAGCCACCAGACTCAGAAGAGGCAGGACGAATTCTCCTCTGGAGATGTCAGAGGAGCATGGTCCTGTCAACACCTGAATTTTGGACTTTTAGCCTCTGCAGCTGTGAGAGACTAAATTTCTGTTGTTTCCAGCAGCAGTGCAGTGTGGGTACCTTGTCACACAAGCCTTAGAAAGCTAATGCAATATTTACATGAGTTTAGGTGAAGGCAGCCTCCCTGAGCCTTATCTGTTCATCTGCAAAATGGAAATAACAAGATCTGCCTTCCAGGGTTTTGATAAGGTTGAAAGCTTAGTGCTGGGGTGATGGGAGGGAACGATGCATATAATAAGGTAATGATCCTGGAGAGGGGTGGAAAGTATGACCTGTGAGTCAAACACAGCCCAAAGCCTGTTTTTGTGAATAAAGTTTTATTGGAACACAGTCAGTCATAAACACTGATTTGTGTACAACTTAGAGCTGCCTTCATGCTGCCATGGTTGAGGAGAACAAACAGAGACCATTCTGCCAACCCTAAAACATTTACTCTCTGCCTCGTCACAGGAAAAGGGGTGTCACCCTTGGCTCCAGGGTCTCACAGTGATGTTGGAGGAAAGAGGTATAAACAGAGAAACACACAAGATTCTTCTGCAGTGGGAAGGCACCCTCTGGTTGGAGGACATTAAAGCGGCTAGGACTGTGTGGTGTAGCTGTAGTATGAGTGGAGAACAGTGGACACAGAGATGTGCTTGGCAAGTAGAACCTAAAACCTGCTGACAGGTGAGATGTGAGGGAATGATGACGAGAGGAAATCAGTGCCGATTCCTGTTTGGGCTCAGCAGTAATTCATCTCAGAGATTAAGGACAAAGTACGAGTTAATTTCTACTCCAAGGAATAAGCAAGTAGCACTTTAGTGTTTTCAAGATTCTGCACAACTCAAGTTGTAATTATTTAAGGGTTTTTAATTTCTGGAAAATTTGGAAATAAATCAGGAAGATCTTCAACAACTATTGAGGTGCTATCTTGCCTAGCCAG